TAATTTTTAAAAGGGGACTGACATTTTAATTTATATCAAATAAATCTGTAGAGTTTTAATTTTACGATTAATAAATTTTGTACATATTAAATATTTATTAATATTGAATATTTATTGAAATTTTATCTATACCTCATTTAAATACTTTTAAATTTTTTTAAAAAAAATTAAGGCTATTTTTTTTAGTAATTAAAAAATTTGTTAGTTGGGCTACTTTTGTTCTATAAGTGTATTATCACTGCGAGTGTGCGGATGCGGAGGAGATTGAGAGAGAGATATCCATGAGTTTGTGTTTGCAGGCAAAGGCGTTGCCGGTGTGTGCGTGGAGAAGCGATGGGGATGGGATAAGAAACAGGGCACCTCCCACCCCTAACCCGATTCCACCCAGAGACCGCGTGATAGGGTTTGGGCGGCACAAGGGCAAGATGCTGGGAGCCCTGCCTTCATCCTATCTCAAATGGATCTCCAAAAATCTCAGAGCAAGGGACACGGAAGAGTGGGCCATTTTGGCAGACCAGGTTCTGGAGGACCCGGTTTACCAAGACCGCATCCAGTGGGAGTTCGCCCACAACCTTCTGAGCGGCGGGACTGGGAGAGGAGGAACTGCCCGCGACGGCGTCGTTTCTGAGCTGTTGGAGATCAGCGACAGGTTTGGCTGGGATTGGGACGGTGGCGGTTGGAGAGACGTTAACTTCGAGCTCTTGGGGACCTCTAAAGGTGGAAGAATCCCACGGCGAGCCGAACCGACGGCGCAGAAGGTATCGCCGGGCGGAGGTGGCGGCGGCGGCGGAAGAAGGAGCGAGAGAAGAAATCGGCTGAGGGTGAAGCGAGAGAAATCGAAGGGAGTGGTGGAGAGAAGTGAAATGAAAGCGGAGAACAATCCTCTTCCCACTCCCAAAGCTCAACCGGACAATCCGGTTACCGGGATGAACCGTCGCTTCCCTGGTCGTCAAACTCTGCTAAACCGGTTTACCACAGCCAAATCACATTTATTGGATTAAATTACCAATTTTAACCTTAGAAATTTGTTATGAATTAAATGTGTAATTTTACATTTTTGTTACAAAAAAAAAAAATATATTCTCTCTCCCAACTTCGGTCATTTTTGAAAGTCGACTTGGAGTTGAATAAGTGGGCTTTCAAGGAGTTGAATTAGGCTCATCCACCGTTATTGCATTGTCGATACCTGATGCAGTAGTATGTTTCAAAGGTTGAATTCGTCCATTAAAGCAGTATGTGAGTTGGGTTTTAAACGTCGTGAGACAGTTCGGTCCATATTCGGTGTGTGCGTAAGAGCATTGAAAGGACCTTCCCTAATACCCTCCTCCATATTTTGTCATCTCAAAGTTGGTGTTAAAACCATCCAGAACTAGAGGTGAATGGCTTGTCAACGACTACGAAGGCTCTACAAACAACAATGGAAATGTAGTCTCGTCTTATGTAAATGGAACATTCATCTACGCTGTAGACACTCGCTCGCAACGAAATCATAATATTTAAATTCATTTAGCAACCAATCATATAACTTCAACCCTATGCGATGACGAACTTCTCATAGTTAAATAATATACATGAGGATAGAGATTTAAAGTTTCGATCATGTACTAACCAATCGAGTACTCAAGTTTGGCTGGCATCCGTGATTCTAATAAACCGCGTCGGGGTCTCATTTGGTACTCAATTCCACTTGATCATCTTAGGGAAGCTTTTATCTCGGCTGTTACACATTAATAGGCTAAACAACTGTTTCTTCATGCGAACTGAGAATTGTAGTTTACACGACAACAAAAAGAAGATTATACACATTCTCCAGTGTTACTCCCTTCCCTTCATTTCTTGCTTTATTACAAGTGAGAAAACTCGAGTTTCTAGCAAACCAGATGAACATCCGACCACGTCTACGACCACGACCTCGACCACGAGCCTCATTGCCTCTACGATCATTCCCTTGGCCACGAGCCTCATTGCCTCTACAACCATTCCCTGAAATGTTGGCAAAGAGGGCCAACTTAGTGACCAAGACTTCTTACACACAGCTCTGAAAATTTGATCCATTGTTCTAAGAATCCCAATGATTTAAGCATCATAATCTCCACATCTAAATCACCAATTCCACAAGAAATAGGTCCCCATCAAATCTGAGTCCTGATGATTCAGCAGCCTGAACTACGCCATCCACCATCCCTCCAAGGATGTATAAACAACGACCAGAACGATCCGTGCAGGCACGATGAAATGATCTCGAGTTCGGTGTGCAACCATTTGCCTTTAATCTCTTCCACATCTTTGCTGCTAATCCAATAGAGTTTCCTGTTGTTAGCTGCACTTCGATTGTTTTCAACGCGCTGACATCCAACGCCCAAAAGTCGTCTTTTCGGTGTCTCTCTGTGTCTTCCCCTCCATATATTAGAAGGCGGCCTCCCAGGATGAGATTCGCCGAGTGTCCGACTCGAGGGAGCGATACTCCTTCGGTTACGTTTTGTAAGTCGTACAGAATTTGCACCCATCTACCATGACCCTCAAATAGACTCAACAGCCAGATATCATTCATCACATCATAGCCTACTCCTCTACCTCCAAATAGAACTACTTTCATTCCCCCAATGGAGTTAAGTGTATGTCCCGATCGAGCTGGAGGCGACGGATGAGACACGATCTCGTGCCAAGTTCCAAATTTGAGATTCTCAGACAGTTCTAACACCCAAGTATCAAACAATCTAATACCACCTAACCCAATTCCTCCATGGATAACCATCTTCTTGTCATCGATGCAGCACGAAGCATGAGCTCCACGAGGCGGTGGTGCTAACTCCCCCACATCGAGCGGTATCCATGAGAATTCATAACCATGAATCCCTTTCCTTTCGACTCTTCCAGCCCACGTATCGTTTTGACGAATTCCATTGTCGTTGATTCCTCCAAAGAGTATTAGAAAATCACCAACAACATTACATGTATGCCCAAATCTCCCACTTGGGGTGCCTGAATTCATCTTTCGCCAGTTTAGCATCCTGTGACAATCATTACCAATGTATGCCAGCCAGGTATCATCAAGATGACGCCCTATATCAACAAACAACATCAAAATAGAACTCAGATGTTCACAAACTTAGAACTAAGAAGATCAGCCTCTCTGGTGAAGTTCTTCACCTGAAAGTGCATGCTAGAACCCTAATTACATCTAACATCTTCTTCAGCAATTGACAATTTCATCCACTCCCCCAACTACAGAGACCAGAGGTTTCTTATTTTGATTTGCAGAAAATAATACAGCATCAAGATTTAACAATAACCTATCCCCATGGTTTGATTCTAAAGATCCATAGGTATAACAAGTATTACGAATCAAAAATGGTTTGGTTAGATCATTAATTTGCATTCGAAGGCAGTCGGCTCAATTCATTCAAGGCAACAAGATTAAGAACAGGATAATGAGATAAAGAACACAAACCACTTTCGCAACCTCCACCAAAGAGTACCAAGCAATCTGAGACGAAGTTAAGGGAGTGAGAAGCTCTAGGGCCCGGAAGTGACGATGATTCAGCGTCTGGATCGGATAATCTATGGCAACGAACAGATTCAAGCCGGGAAAGTTGCTTGAAGACACGCATCCATGGCAGGTGAGAAGAGAGATGATAGGAGTTGAGAGCCTCGACGGAAGCGGATCCCCATTCCCTTCTACAAATAGCTTCCCAGAGAGCATCGGAGGAAGTGAGAGCCCTAAATCTGCTACAAGTAACGGAGAAGGAGAGTATTGAATCTACAGGCAGTAGAAGAAGAATAGCGAATAAGTGGTCGGGAGCAAGGGAAGTGATCGGTGATCCGTCGTGGTAGCCACCGGTGGTAGTGGATCCTTCCGGTTCCATGAGAGACGGTAAAAGACGGCGGTAAGTAGGCGGCTGATTTGCGCCTCCACCTCCTCCTCCGCCTGGAAGAGAAGAACAGGTAAATTTTCGGATTTGGAAAAGACAAGATTTCTAGTGTTGGTTGTCGTGTAAAAAGATAATAAGCAATCGATTGGATGCTCAATCAATCAAACGCAATCCGTCATTTTCAACCTAAAATTTCATTTCCAACACATGTCGATCTTGTTTATCTAATCAATTGCTGCTTTTGAACTTAATCTCTATCCGTCTCATCTCCCACGCAGATTAATTCAGACTATATTATCCGTAATACTGTTACTAATTATCAATCAGGCTTAATATCTAAGACATCTTTGAATGAGATATTGAACAAGATACTTTGTGAAACACTCACTCTTTATTAAGACCTATTGAAAAGAGAATAATTACATATATTGATTTGACCGATGGACGAATACGCAAGCATACGTTTCATACTTGTTTGAGTAATAGCAATGAGATTCCCCAATATCATGCTAAGAATAGCTATGATTTCCAGAAGAATATGTCATTCATTTGATGAAAAATAAAAAGAAATATCGAAAATTCAAGTGGCTGAAGCTGAAGCAGCTACTTTCGAAGAAACAGAAAGAAAAGCAAGAGTAGGGGAGTTAGAGTCGAAAAAAGGATTCCTCACTTCTTTGTCTCATTCAAAACCGTGCATGAGACTTTCATCTCGCACGGCTCCTAAGCTAAGTGCTAAAAGAAAGAATAACTTATCTTCTTTTCTTTTTTTATTACCTTCCTCTCGTGAAACACTCAAAAGAGTTTACAATAAACCTATGATGTGAGATTCAATTAAAATTATTGAGTTTGATTCTATTGAATGATTCCTATTGAACTAATGATCATGAAATTGTTTCGAAATTCATGATTGTTGTTTAATCACATAAGAAGAAAATAGGTATAATTACTAAAACGTCACATAATAAATAATGTATAATAAGAATTCAAATATATAGTTCATTTCTACTTATACAAAAAGCTTTACAATTATTATCTAGTTATTAAAATTTATATAGTTGAAAAAGAAAGTAAATACTTACATAATGATATTAAATGTCACTAATCTTATGCAATGAATTCAAATATATAGTTGCAGAACATTTATCGAGTCATTTTCAACACGCTTCTTGCGATGTCAAATTAACTTATGCAATAAAAACCAGATAGGAAGTAAAGGAAGAACGTAACAAAACATCATCAAGAACTCTACAATGGCTTATTGCTGCTAATCAAGACTATCTATTGCTAAACAAAACATCAACATTCTTTTATTTTGGCACCCAACTTATGTTTGAAAATTGCATACTCCCCCTTTGTTTATTAGCTTCCGAAGAGCAACCTTGGCTTCCTCAAGTGTTTCCACGGCATGCCCTCCTTCAAAGGATATCCTTTGGACATTGAACTGCAAGAGAGCATAAGGTTGCATATATTACTACGCATGCTGCCAGGACATGTTCAAATCTACACACTGTTATTCTTTTGGTACCTGAGCTCCTTGGCGGACTCGAATATCGATTCCCTTGCTGTCTATCGATATTAAGGCAGCATCGTCTACCTCACTTTCAGCTGATAGCAGCTCTTTCAGAGGTTTTGAGAACATCGCGTTCAATTCCTATTTCATGGATGTGGGGTTTATGCAAATAAGAAAAGAAACCATTACAAATACTAAGACAACCAGAATACACCCCCTTATGGGAGTGCAAGAAACCGAGGCTTCAAAGAAATAATGATAATATACTTCTCTCAAGTACTTTCTTAAAAGTGCAACGGAATAAAAAATAAAGAAAGAAAAACCTGCAACTTAGATCCTCACCTTAAGGCTTTGCTCGCCTCCGTCAACTGCAATCTTATCAGGTTGAAGGGCCTCATACTCTTTCACATCCACCCACGCAACAGTCCCGAAGCCTCCGATGAAATAAATGTCACTGCAAAAACATCATAAAATCAAGCAGGATAATTTTCTGATTGTTAAACTTAAACTTCCTTGTAGGTAAACACGCCGATCATGAGCTTATGAATTTTTTGTGACCCACGGTAACTATATACTCGTCATAAATTATGTCGGTAGACATGTAGATGAAACAAAACGAGGAAAAAGAAGAGAACAAGTAGACTTCAACATACGGGAGCTTCAGCTCAAGGGATTTAATTGTCAACGAGTCTAGATGAGTTATTGCAGGAACCAAAGTCATTCGAAACATTTTTATTATATAGAACGTATATATGATGAGAGAGGCAGGAAGGAATAGGCAGATGCCTAAAGTCAGCAGTCCAAACAAAACAACCGAAAGGATATTACAATCAAATCATATAAAGATTGGTGCAACTATAAAGTACCGGTAATTACCCAGCGTCCATTGCACATGGTTTATGTAACTGGGTTAAGTTTTAAAAGCATTGATAGGATCTTCAAATTCTTGTGGTTAACTATTTCTTTTCAAGTTTTCACCATCAACTAAAATGAGCTTAAGATATTCAAATTCCCATCTACCATGGTTGAATATTTCTTTTATGAATAAAAAAAAATCCATTTCTACAGAGCACTCTTAGTTTAGTGATAAAAGTAAAAGATAATTTGGAAATCGTTTTAAACATGAAACAAAATGCTTAAATTAGTTACCATGGCTAAGTTGCCTTGGAATGAAAATAAAAAATCAATTTCTTTTTAAAAGTTCCACACAAATGTTCCAGTAAACTTTCGTAATTAAAGAAATAAAGAAGAGTTTAAGAAATGGATAGAAAATGTTTATAAACAAAGCTACTTACACAGTGGTGAAAAAAATGCAATATACGTGAATGAGATATTGACAGATATCAATTTTTTGGATAGGAATTTCTCAAATATCATTGAAACACATAGGATTTAGGGCCTTTTTGGAATGACTTTTCTAAGTGTGAATCACGAAAGTAGAATGGTAATATTTTTTCAATATGGATAAATAGAAGTATAAATGTTGATGAAATAATACTGAAATGAGATTCTTTCAGGCCGTGAATATACGGGTCGACTTATGTACACCTCTATTAATCAAAAAGCACAATTATTGACAGTATAACATTTAATTGTCAAGCACATAGGATTTCCACTGTACCAACTTGAATAAGATTATCTTGACAACTTAGAAAAAATATTGACAAAGTTAATGAATTTGTAAATAACTCATACAAATGTTGCAAATTCTTTAATTGTAACATTTAGTCTTTCAATCTATCTAAAATTTTGTTTATTCAATTTAGGGCAACAAAGGTATGCATTAAAAAAATAGATCTTTACCACCATTTATTTTTATATAGGTTATAGATTGTAAGTAAACACAGCCAACTATAAGCTGCATATAAGCAAATTACATAACAAGCCACAACTATGAACAATAAGGGTTAGTTAGGGACAAGTGAAGCATTAATTTTGTAAGCTTTGACTACAAAATAAATGTTTCATTTAAAAGCATTTTAAGTATTCTTATCTACTCCTTAAATTTCTCGCACAACTTCTTGTAATTTAAAATTTTAAGAAGTATAATCACTTTACTGCACGTCAAACACACACTAAATCAAGAACAAGAAATAAACCTGATGTCTTGCATCCTGAAGTAGTAAAAATTTCCCCACTGTTGAGAAGGTCCTTGTTGATGCTTAGCTATGTATTGCTTGTGAGCCCACTCCTGTAAGAACAAGCGAGGATCATTTTGTTGCTAGATGTGCATATTGGAGAAGACTGATAAGCAAGCATGAGTACCAAAAGACCTATGAAATTAGTTTGAAGATTCACTTGTGAAAATAGAGGCAGACAACAGAGTTTCAGCTTATTAACTCTACCAATAATTACATCTTTAAAGTAAAATTGACCTGCTGATCCTCTGGAAGGGGGTATATATCACCAAAAATAGTTACTCTGGCATTTGACAAGCCACTCCATCCAGGTATCTGCAAGGTTTAATTGTCACATGAAGACCTAAAATGCAAGGACTAGAAAATGTTGATTGTTAAACTACATGCCTGCACAACAATGGTGCATCTTGGGTCTGCCAACAAATTCCGGGTATGAATGGCCAGAGGTGAAAAAGAAAAAATTGGATCTGCATGAAAACATATAGATATATATAACTACCAAGATTAAATAAAACAAGAAACAAAACACAATGTTATTACTTTATGGAATTGACTATTGAGATTAGGATTATAGAGGAGAAAGCTATGTCCAAAAGTTATATCTTTCATCATACTCTATACCACTGAACAAAAGAAACCCATTGAAGATACTTCATTGTGCGACTTTTCAATCTCCTAGCCACAAAAACAAAAAACAAAATAAAACAACAAACACTAATCTATATAATTTACAAATGCCATTTTCAGCCAGTAGACTTCTTGATGACATGGCAGACGGTCTTTTGAACTAGCTTATCAATTAACAGGGAAATACAATCCGGCCAATATTGAAACTAATTGACTTACGGCCCATGGAGTCAGTTGCAAAATCTACCAAAGAACCAAATGGGTATCCTTGTCTGCGGTGGTGCATCCGAGACATCACAGTGCACAAATGAGCAAATCTGGCCTTAAAAGTACAAAGAAGATCTCATTCAGAAAGTCTTTGCAGTTCAGAAGGCAACAACAATTGAAGTTCATATACATGACATTGAGGATACCTGTTATATTAGACAATAATAAAATGAAGGGAGTTTAAGCCTGACCTGTTCCATGAGATTGCGGACAGCTAAGGCCGGTCTGGGTAGACCATGCGCTGAGGTTGCACTCTGCACGCCACCAGATATTGGTGTTCTGAAAAGACCAGCTCTAGTTCCACTGCCAGATGGAGCAGTAAGAGATGCATCCACCTTTAAACGCTCATTTGCATTCTTTTCATTGCTTTGTGTAAAATTTAGCTCATCCTTGAGAAAACAAGAGGTACCATCATAACTAAACCAAAGCCGTCATTTCTTAATATATGACATCCAATCACTTTCTGTGGCATTACAAAATGAAAGCTATCTTATGATTCAAATTAAATCAACAGTATTAGATCTTTTGTTTCTAACTATCAAATTAAATTAAATTGTTTCAAAAAAAATTGCGATGCTTCTGAACTTTAGCAGTACATCCAATCATACTCTAAAGCATCCGAAGAATTGATTAAAGAACTATAAAAACTATCAGAAAATCTGTAAGGAACGTAGTCTGCTGATTCTTTTAAGTCTCCAGTTCAATGTTTAAAACTATGTTCATACATCACTCCACCTTCAAATGTCTCAAAGTTCGTAAGAGAGCATTTATAATAATAGAAACCGATACAATCAAATAAACAACCATACAATCAATCAAATAGTGCATAAATCTCTCGACCTTGTTTTCTCTTCTCAAGACACGTTAAAAACCAACGCATCTTCACCAGTTAAAGCTAAAGGTGCTGGACAATCAATAAAACATCAACTCGAAAGAGTTCCATTATCGTCGCAAATTTCCAGTCACATCAAAACCCTAATTGCATATTTCTACGGACTCCGTTTACAGTAGTATATACAACGTACATAGCAAAACTGTGTATCTATCGAGGATTAAAGAGACCATACCTCGGGGAAAGATACATCTTCTTCGGAAAAGAGTCCAAATCTATTATCAGATGGTTTAGCCTCTTCAGCTTCACCAGAGAGAGCACGAAGGGCACCAAAAGTAGTAGAGTCGTTGATTCTGAGAAACCCAGTCCGCTTGGTCGGGTTCCAGAACAAAGGAGTGTATGCCTCTGAAAACTTGGGAATGGTCACAGAGCTTGCTAGCGCTTCCATGGAGAAATCACAGAGGATACGGGCAGTCACAGGAGATCGACGTATAAATGTTAATGGCAACGGAGAAGATTGCGAAGGTTTTGATTAGAAGTTCAGAGAAATCGTGCTTATTTCCTTCCCAGTTTTTTACAAATAAAATTTTCAGCAAACAATTTCATTAAAATAAAATAAATATATTTTACCAAATATTTTATTTGTGACAAATAATAATTTAAATATAAATTGCAAGAATTGTATTGCAACCAAATGTTTTATTTTTTTACTTTTAATATTTTAATTTGTGAGAAATAATAATTTAAATCCAACTTTTAAAATTTCAAATAATATTATAATACTAAATTTTCAAAAATATTTTTATCATTCCCCGTGAATATTTTATTTAATAAATACCTTTAAAATTTTTAAATTATTTAAAAAATAATTAAAATTTATTTTAAAATTTAAAAATACTCTTACATTTTTTTGAACTTTTTTTATAAAGTTTGAGGAGGTTAATACTACCTTTCTTTAAATATATTATTAATGATAAAAATATTTTTTTATTAAAATTTTTAAAATTAATAAATGTATTTTTTAAAACTTGTTTTAAATATTCCATCTCTGCTGAGTATAATAAATATATGATGAACTCTAACATTAATACTAAACTTGTTAATGCTTGAAATATATGTTTATATTTTTTGTTAAGTACAATTAGTATGGATTAAAGATTTAAAATTATCGCAAATCATGTTCATATATTGGCTATGGATGAAATTAATACCTGTTCAAACTATTACGTTATGGTGATAATATCAACGATTAAGATATGCATAAAATTTATTGAATACGAAAGATTTGAACCTTCAAGTTAATAGAACGGGTGCATAGAGCTACGGCATCTTTGATAGCTTAGATCTAGTTTATGTTACAAATATAATTTAAAATATTTATTAAAACATGGTTTGAGTCTGACGGGATGTTCATTTAATTCATGATGTCATGGGACTCCATAAGTAGAGTTGGACTTCTAGGTGCACGATCATATTAGCACCAAGAGTGGTAGGAAAGTTATGTTATGAAAAGTTTTGAGGTAGAATGAGCATTACGGCTATGTACCATGATTTGAAAATTTCGAGACCTTATACATTGTAGCAACGTTGTATGTCATTCTCAATGGTATGTGGCTATAATGTATGAGGTCTCGAAATTTTAAATCACAGTAAATGCGCGATATGAAGAAGAAAAAAAATCGCACGTGACTGGAGTATTTAAAGAAATGCTCAGTAAGTAACCCAATTATTATGGTCGAAAAATGCAATCACATGCAATTATGGTGAGACTCATCTTCTCATAAAAACATCGTGGTCTTGAACTTTACTTTCCAGTCTTGGTAAAATTACTTCTTTATACACAGCTCACACACGCACACATGAACCCACTAAGCAAGCTTGTATATGTACTCGTGGACCTGACTTTCGTCTAGCACACACTCATGTTGCCGGATCCATGGAGGAAGAAGCTCGCATAATATTATGATGTATATAAATATCGTAATGTACGTATCTATACTTATCATAACAGTGAAGTATCTTGTTGTACGTGATGTACAAAATGCATGAGATCTCACAGTATCAAATCATGACACAATGTTCCTATAAGACATGTATACGTATACTGAATATATCTTTCATGGTTAACATACATGACTTATCAATATCTCATAAGCATAGAGTGAACGTGCTAACATAATACGTGATGTGACATATGAAGGTTCGTGCATCATATAACATTGGTATCACAACGTAATTTTATAGCATAGCATATCATAGTATAATATCATAACATAACTTATGTCATAGCTAAATCGTCATATAATGTAACACACATCCTACAATCATAAAATACGACAAGGTGCAGGGGCCACAGGTTATGCACCGCACCCATAAGCATCCGAGAATAGAGTCTTGCTTGGTTGGACTACGTCTAAATCACCGAGCTTTCTTTGTGCTAGCTTAGAACTACTCATAGAAATCTGATTCCACCTAAGTCTGACCCTTATTAACCAGAATTTTATTAGGAAAATTGACTTACAATTTTGCATAAAATAATCTAAACTTAGCTCTAACTAGTTTAAGTTGGCTAAATAGCCGTCATAATAACTTTAAGCAGCTTCGAAAGTATAAGAGTCGAAAACTCGTATGAGTTAAACGTATCAAACCTAAGCCAAATCAGTGGAGTGCCCGAGTTGGAGTCGTTAGAACATAGATTCTCCTACTGGCTTTGAATCACCAAAATGGGATGAAACGAAATATTTGTTGTAACTCAGTAAGCCAATAAACGTCCTTTTTATATTCGAATCTAACTCTCTACTTCCTCAATCTAATCGACGTGAGACAATTTTTTTTCTTTCTTTTTAATTTTTGATTGTTAGAGTATGCTAGTCAAAAGCTCAGCCTAGTGGGTATGTATACGAGCTCGCCTAGTTGGTTCATGCACGCATGCGTGCGTGAACTATGCATAAAGAATTACATTATATCCCACTCTACTTGGAAAATAGAGTTGAGTCAAATGAACAGTCACGAAAAGAAAGGTCCCACAATGAACCGTGATTACATTTCTTGACCTCAACATAGGGCTATTTACTCCGTATTTTTAAATACTAAAAACACGAAAGGTAAGACTCATATACAAAAATGACAACATAAGTTGATGAGGTCGTGAAAGCGAAGTCCTTGTAATTAGATTTTGGCATTTAAGCCATAATTCTTTTCTTAGGACAAGCCAACAACATCTATTTCACAACTTTGATAAGAAATATAATTTTTTTTGCATTTTCAACCACGTTATTTTAATATTATTATTATGTTTCAAAGAAATTTATGAACATTTTAGTATACAACAATGTTTAAATTGAACGGTTTTTAAAACATAACTGACATAACGTGCATGTAATAGTGATAGGGATGTTCGTGAGTTAGGTTGGTTCGAGTTCTAAATTTTTCAACCCAAACCGCACTTAAAATAATGAACTCAGCCTAACTCAACTATAATTTTTTTTTGGGTTGAGTTGGTTCGTGTGTTCCATTCATTTATTCAATATCTTTTGTTTTAATTTAAATAAAAGTAAAAATTTATTTCCCAAAACAAATATTTATTTATTTTCAAATATTCATTACAAACTCAATTTTAATATATATTTATATATAAAAAAAAGAAATATATATATATATATATATATATATTTTAAGTTTAGAACCAAAATATATATTTTACATATTTGCCCCTAGCCTCAAAATATGTATAGGAATATTTTAAAAAAAAAAATATATATATATATATTAAAAAAGAGAAAAAATAAAAATAATAAAAAAAAAATGGAAAAAAGAGACATGAACGAGAAACATCTGAAAAGACCCAAACCCGGGCTTGTGGACATATTTATGGACCAATTTACGAGGGTAAAGTGGGAAAGTGGTGGCGTAACCCGAGGCACGAGCCGGAGTAAAAGTGTGAATGTTGGTTAAGTGGAGGGCAGGAGCGTAATTTGAGGGCACATTGTAGAAAATCAAAAGACGCTTTTTTGCGCGGCATGAGCATTGGCATTGTTCTTGCTACCACACTGACAATATTCTCTGTACGATGTCTGACAGTGTTTGGCCTGGTTTCCATAGGGGTTTACGCTTCCCCCCCTTTTTTTATTTCTTTTTCCAATTTCATCCATTAAATTCAATTCAATGCCTCTCTTCTCTCTCTACGCCTACCTCTACTGCCACTAGGGCGCTCGCTCTCCACCATTGCATTCCTTTCTTCTTCCATTTTTGTTTTGTTTTTTTTGGTTTACTTTGTGGATTTTGTATCCGGAAGAATCAGGAATCTGTAATCCAACATGGATGAGCGTGTTGATTTCTCTTCGATTCGGCGTTGAAGGTGTTGTTACGGAAGTTGAGAATGGATGTGCTGAATATGTTGAGGAGAGGGCGTAAGCAGAATCGGGAGAGGGATTTGAAGGAGGAGGATGGTGTAGATCTCAAGTGTGTTGCTGAAGCAGAAGCTGGAGTAGAAGCAGAAGTGAAAGCGGAAGGCGATGAGGATGATGAGGATTTCATAATGGAGGAGGTGAAGAGGAGATTGAAGGAACTGAGGAGGAATAGTTTTATGGTGCTGATTCCCGAGGAGGAGGAGGAGGAAGAAGAAGAGGAAGTCGGCGAAGGGGAGACGAGCTGTGGGGAGCCGGAGTGGAGAGACGTGGAAGCGGAAGGTCGGCAATGGTGGGGCGGATTTGGCGCTGTTTATGACGATTACTGCGAGAGGATGATTTTCTTCGATCGGATTAGCAACCAATCCGGTACGTTCTTCCAATCAATCAATGAAAACCAGTGAAATTAGGTTTTGCTCTTACATTACATCGCCATTGAATTGCATTTTAGGTTCTGAATCGGCCTCCCAAAGATCTGCGCCGAAAAAGAGTGCTTCGCCTCTTCGATGTCTTTCTCTGAAGAGGATCGAAGAACCTGAAGACGAGATGGAGGATCTTGATCCTTCATCGACTCTGAATGACTCCAATCACCACGTAGAAACAGCCTATGTTGCTCACATTTGCTTGTCCTGGGAGGCTCTTCACTGTCAGTACACTCAACTCAACCACTTAATATCATGCCAACCACAGAACCCTACTACGCGTTATAATCTTACTGCTCAGCTCTTTCAGCAATTTCAAGTCCTCTTGCAAAGGTTTATCGAAAATGAACCCTTCCAACAAGCTCTCAGGCCTGCAATTTATGCTAGAACCCGTAGAACTTTTCCTAAAATGTTGCATGTTCCTAACATTCAAGGTATGTGAATACACTGACGCCTTTGATTTTCTTATGATGATACCAAATATATGATGAACTCTATGCTTGTTTCTTGTTCAGCTTCAGATTCAAACGTGGCCCAGGAACAAGAATCAGATTCCCTCATCCTCGCTTCTGATCTGCTTGTCATTATCGAGGCTTCAATCTTTACTTTCCACCGCTTCCTTAAGATGGACAAGAAAAACTCGAAATCTGCTTCTTTATCACTTCGGAACCAGACCCAGGACGCCACTTTGCTTGCTCGTATTCGATCTTCCCTTGACAAGGTATGAAGCTCAAGTGTTCTAAACTATCTTAATGCTTACTAAAACATAATTATCATTAAAGCTGGTTAGCTATATTCTCTGTCAAAAGACATAACTGGAATTGTATTGAAGAATTGAATTTGAAGAACAATGATTGAAGGGGTAGAGAATAATATGAAAGGGTTTTGAGTATTGGCAGAAGAAGGCGAAGCTGAAAGAAGTTAGGAAGAAGAGTAGAGGGTGGAAGCAGAAAACATGGCCTCAAACGTATGAAGACATGCAATTGCTTTTTGGAGTGGTGGATATTAAAATCATATCAAGGCTTGTTAAAATGCCAAGGATCTCTAAAGAACAGCTGCTTTGGTGCGAGGAGAAGTTGAAGAAGTTGGATGTGTCTGATGGGAAATTGCGGAGAGATCCCTCTCCCCTTCTTTTCCCATGTTAATTTCTTCTTCATCTTGTTCTTCTTGTTCTTCCTGTTCTTCCTGTTCTTCCTGTTCTTCCTTCTCTGAGGAAGCACTGGTCTGCTTCTTCTTCCTCTTTTCTGGGTACTCACAAACACACTGTTCCACAGCTCTGGATCTCCAAGTTGTTGTGATTGTGGTTTAATGTAACTGGACGATGGTTGCAGATAAGTATGGTGTTGGGACCCTGCTGCTACTACTTATATTATATACTACGATGGATTTGAATTCTTGGGTTCTTGTTTCTTATGTGGGTTAGGGAGGGGGCCCTCTTAGTCTCAACTATCCAGTCGAATCTCTTCTCTTTGTTTTAGACCTCAAGCTCCAAAACTCCTCTGGCCCTTAATGACCAAATCTCTGTCTTCTGGCCTTGTTTTTTTGCTATCCACGTCCATTCGTGGGCCGAGATTTCTACCTACTCGATAGTATAATGATCGAGCGGTCTCTCTTACGTAATGTTTTAGAATGATTTTGAAATTGTTAAAGTCACTGTTTCAAAGTTTGACTTAGAAGGATGGAAAACATGCTTGCACATTAAAAATTATACATAAATATTATCTTATTATTTTTAATGTTTGCACGTTATTCTTTAAATTCTTCCCTTCGGAATCAAAATGAATTTCTTTCTTACTGGCAAAGAAAGAATTCCATGTTTTTTTCCTTTTGCAATTGTTCAAAGCATGTTTGGTGATTATGTTGGTTTTTCTTTATTCTTTTTCATGATTAAAGGTTATAAACTTTATTTCTACTTTAGTTTATTTGTTATTTTAATTTACTTTTTTTTTTTAAATTTCAAAATCTAAATCAAATTTTATATATAGTTATGGAAAAAAAAAAAAAAAAAAAGAATTCTCCAAATGCCCAAAATGCCCAAAAAAGTTATTGGTCGGCCACTGCTGCCTACAATCTTGTGCTTAGAATACTTAACTAAAATATAATAATATTAGTAAATAAAAAATATATTTTCTAATATATTGTAAATTTGGTTAAAAACTACTTTTTGGTAACTTTCTCAAAATTATAAATTTTAGTTTTTAGTTTTTAGTTTTTATTTATTTTTATTTTTTAACTTTCAAAATTCATAAAAATTAATTTTTTGGAGTTACAGTTTAATCCTTATACTTTATTATTTTTTTTTTAATGATGTCCCGTTGTCAAATTAGTGATAAGACTGGTTTGAGAATTATAAAGCTAAGTCGTTACGTAATAAAAATTGACTATTAATTGTAAAGATAATTTTCACGATAAACACATGATTATGTCATGTCATATTATTTTTCTGATTTATAATTTTAATTTGTTTTCGAGAGAAGGTATCTACTCTATGAAGGGGTGAAATTCTACTTTCGGTTTTCTTTACGCATAATACTTTAACTTTGTTTGATTATATATAACACGAGTGAGAAAGTTCGGAAATTTAACCTATTGATTGATGTCAGTCACATGTCTAGACCAGCTATCAATCTCACGTTCTCATTCTAACAATTTTAAAGGGAATAAATTATAAAATATTTTAAAATCCTAACGTCTCTAATGTAAATTTCTTAACTTAAGTTTTGGTTTTAGCTCACCAACAAATAAAGTGAGATGATTTCAACTTTTAATGTTTGAAGATATTTTTGAAGTTTTTTAAAAAAAGTTTTAAAACTATTGATATAACTTTTGAAAACTTTGAAACGAGTATTTTTGAAATAAAGTATTAAAAATATATATTAATTTTTTTTTTGAAAAATGAAATGTATTTTTTGAAACTTTAGTTAAAACTTTTAAATAAAAATTTAAAAATATTTTCAAGATAATTAAAAAATTAAAAATATTTTTTTTATTAATTTAGCAAAATATATAAAATAAAATTCTGAATCGGCAAGGGACAAATGGGTCGAAGGATCGAAGATGGGCTTCCCGTTGGGACGGTCCATATTTAAATGCATTACGCTGGAATTCGGACGTTGGACTTGGGATTGGAAGGCGGAAGCAAAGCACTCCCGCTGCGTCACACACCAATCGGAGATCGGAACCCTAACCTCCGCCTGTTAACTCTTCGGCACCTCATCCACATGTGATCCCCGGCCCCGGCCTCCTCTCCTCTTCCCATCCTGATTCGCTCTTTCTTCATTTCCTCCCTCTCATCTGCATCGCCGGCACGGTAGGGTATATTTCCCTTTCCTTTTACTTCCCATGTTTTGTCTTCTCTTCACGTTGATTTGTTTATTTTCATCGAGTTCTCGCTATTCCGACGAAGTTCGCCGCGAATTCATACGATATGAGCTTGTTAATTGGTCTTTTTTTTTGGTTATCCTGCTGAAGGAAACTTTGTTAACATGTGGAATTGCAGCTTACTAACTATACATGCTCACTGGCTTTCTTCGTGGTTGCAGGGTGTCACGGTTACTTATGGTTGTGACACAGGGAACCCCACTTGTTTCTGCTTAGCTACGTTTCATTTCACCATGTCTTCCGCATCAACCGTCTCCCAATCTATGTCACTACCTGCTCCTCCTACTTCTAATTCTGCAGCTAATGGATCTTCAATTCCCAATTTGATTCCGGCCACTTTACCAGTTCCTCCTGCCCAATCTTTCCATATTCACCAACTAGCGCCTGGAACTCCGATGGTACCTGGTCCACCGGGAATGTCACCGTCTATGCCAGTTATGTTTCCACCTAGCGATTCATCTGCTTCTTCCACTATCCCAGGACCCAATATGCATGCAGCTCCTAACTCAATAAATACTTCTGTTCGTCCACAAATATGTGGTTCCTATCCTTCTCTAGCTCCCGTTGTTTCTCCACCTCATGCGATCTGGTTTCAGCCTCCTCAGTTGGGAGGCATGCCCAGACCTCCCTTTCTGCCGTACCCTGCTTCTTATCATGGCCCGCTTCCTTTTCCTGCCCGTGGAATGCACCTACCTTCTGTTCCATTGCCCGATCCTCAACCTCCTGGTGTTACCCCTGTTCAAGTTTCATCGGCCACTGCTGTGCCATCTACTCATGGAAGTCATCTTACTGGAAATTCGTTGATCCAGACAGACTTCAATCATCCTGAACTTGGTATGCCGTATGCTGTTAAATTGTTATCTTTATATCATGGTAAAGCTATTTGTACTTCAGTGCTTACATGTGCCTAAACTTCTGTTCTTCATTCATTGTTTAATCATTTAACAGATGCCCATAAACACGCTCAAGGTATGGGCCAATCTGAGAGTATTTCTTTAAGTAAGCACTCGGAGAATTGGACTGCCCACAAGACTGAGTCAGGAATAATGTACTACTATAATGCCTTGACAGGAGAATCTACTTATGAAAAGCCTTCTGGATTTAAAGGGGAGGTATTTTCCCGGAGGCTTTCTATAGTTTCAAATGCGCATAAGTTTCGTTTTGTCTACTTGTTCGTTACTTATAAATCTCTCTCCCTCTCTTCCACCCTCCACCCTCCGCTTTAGCATCACACCATCAGTACACACACACACACGCACACACACATTAATTTTGTTGTTATTTGGTTTCACCAGGTTCATTATCAATTCTATTTCAGCTTGAAGCTTTTGTGGAATATGGGATGAGTAACTGGCTGAAATGAATAATTGTTGACATTGTGGCTTATTATCAAACTTTATGATGCTTTTCTATTGGAATGGCATGACTGTATTATGGCTTTCTTATTACCTTTTTATAGCATTAAGGTTTTTCAATATATCCAATTTTGTGCATCTCATTCATCAATATATGTATATACATGTATAATAATTTTGATGTAATTGAATTTGTTGCAGCCTGACAATCTCATGGTGCAACCAACATCTGTTTCAATGTAAGTAGCTTTAATAAACCATGATGGAAATGCGATTGTTTTTCTTTTTATATGAAGCTAAAACATTTTACTTATTTTATTAGTTACTTCTACAACAATTGTAACTATGTGATTTGCGGCCAGTTTGGAGATTTTTGTTTTGTAATATGACTAATTTTCTGGGTGGAATTATTACTTGTAAGTATCATATATAAACTTGTCAGCACTGGCCTATGATGGTTTATTTATGTTTTGGCGACATTCATTAAAATTAGATAAAGTTTTTGTAATGGATAATTTATATGTCATGTATAATGCTTTGGTTGGTGCTTCCACCTGCTTGCAATAAACGAATTCTTGATTGCTTATATGTAAATACTTGGGGAATAGGAACCAATAATTTGTTTCTCTTTAGGAGGCATTCTTGTTTTGTGGTTGGATCCTGTCTGCCGATGAGGTTATAAACCATATGTTTATTCATTGCTTTGGCAAAGATGAATATAAACCATATGTTTATTCATTACTTTGCCTTCAATTGTTAGGACCACTTACTTGAGTCTGTTTGGCATCGCTGGATGCAGTCCCTGGTTTATTAATTTCAATTTAATATATTTTTATTCATCCTTGCAGTTTTATGGGTCTTCTCCCCTTCATCTATGCTAGTTCTTCATTTTGGCATTGACATAACTGTTGGGCTAATTTTGTTTCTTCCTAGATGTTGGCTTTTAGTAGTCCTAACAAAGATCATTTTCCCCCAAACTTTGTGGGTTGGGCTACACTTCTTAGCTTCTGAACGTGCCAAATAATGGTTTTCTATCTACTAAATGTTCTTATGTTCTATTTTCTGTAGGTCAAACCTGTCCGGTACGGATTGGGTTTTGGTTACTATGGGTGATGGTAAAAAGTATTACTACAACAACAAGACAAAGGTTTGATTTTCTTTTTCTCTTCTAAATTCCCCCCCAGCTTTCCTATATGTCCGGAAGTTTTCTTGTTAGAAATAAATTTTTGGATGCATATCTCGTGTTGTTATCACCTTGAATATCATGAGAAAATGGTCCACTGCTGTTAGTTCCCAAAAGATTTTCTCTATGTTGAAGGACTTAAGCACCAATTTTGTATCATATTCTTTTGTCAGGAGTCTTTTGGACATATTAAGCATATATTTCTTTGTTTATGTGATTGTTATCGAGTATATATATTTGTTTTGTAAAGAATTGATTTGGTCCTTATATGAGTCCATTAAAAGCCTAGAAAGTAACATGTATTATTTCCACGAAGTAACAAGAAAAAGAAGCAGGATGTGTACCTGCATGTATTCTTTTTTTTTATTTTTTTATTTGCTTTCTAGTATTTTTTGAAGAGAATTGAAGATGTTAATACGATCCCATTAAAAACATAGAAAGTAATATTTATTGGTTCCACAAAGTAACTAGGAAAAGTAGCAACGTGTGTATCTGCTGTCATTTACTACATGAGGTAGGCTGGGGCTCAGAAGTGGATAGATTCCTCAGAGGATATATCTGCTGCCTGATGGTCCATTTATCATTAGACATTGTCTATGTAAACTTATTGGATGAAAAATGAACTTCAAAATCATATTCCCGATTCCTGTACTTCAAATGTTGTGAAACGTAAGTCTCTTGTACTGAGTTAGCTCAATGGTAAATTCTAGCCGTGAACCTAATTTTCATATTTCAGTTGTGCCAACCTATCTTTCTCTCTCTGAATCAGATAAGCAGTTGGCAGATCCCAAATGAAGTAACTGAATTGAGGCAGCAGAATGATGAAAAAACAAAAGAACATTCAGCTCCTTTGCCAAATAATCATGCGTTGACTGAACCAGGATCTTCCCCTATCAGTATGAATACTCCTGCCATCAACACAGGAGGTCGTGAAGCCATGCCTCTTAGAACTGTAGGAGTTTCAGGGCCATCTTCTGCCCTGGATTTGATCAAGAAAAAATTGCAAGAGTCTGGAACTCCTGTAGCTTCCTCGCCTATTTCAGCTCCAACAATAGCTCAATCAGATGTGAATCTGCCGAGAGATGCTGATGCTGCAGTTAAGGCACTGCAGACTGAGAACAGCAAGGTTAAGCCGAAAGATGCCAATGGTGATGGAAATGTATCCGACTCCTCCTCGGACTCTGAGGATGTAGACAGTGGACCAACTAATGAGCAGTTAATTATTCAGTTTAAGGTGTAATCTAACTTCCCCTTTATTGTGGATCAATATCATAATCTTTTTGACAGTTTGATAATACTTGATGGGAGTGTTTTTCATTTTTTTGTTGTTATCTTCTCTTGCTAGTGTTCTGAATATCATGTTCATTATATATTTGAGTCTTTCCTATGCATAGTGATCTAGGGTGGGCTAGCCTCTGTGATGTAAATGCATTAATTTCATACCCATAATAAATAATACGTGGCTGCTGATCAGTCAGCCAAGCTTGCTGCTCCATTCATGGAGCTGAAAAAAGGGGGCAAATCATACTGCTCCCCTTCATGTTGCCAACATTTAGTGGAAAGCAGGCCTGGCAGTCGATTGGTCAGTGTATTCACAGTTTATTCTCAAATCATTGGTCATGGTCTTGATTTGTACGTTCTTCCTGCTTTCTATTATTCCTGAAGTTCCCATCATATCTGTTCATGCAATCTTCAGTTTGAGGAATTTCTGTCCTCTGCAACCTTAACTGTTGTGGTGGAAACATCTCATTATGATGTAATTGTAGGAAATGCTTAAGGAGCGGGGAGTGGCACCATTCTCTAAATGGGACAAGGAATTGCCGAAGATAGTTTTTGATCCCCGTTTTAAGGTTTGTTGAGTATAAAGATTTGAATTACTTTGTTCGGGAATAAGGGTCTGCTACCAATGGTACCCCTTGATACAGGTTTGTTTGATTTTGTTTGCCCATGTTAGACTACTTCCATACATTTGAATTCTTGGTTGACTCATGACTTTCTCCTGTTATGGCTTCCAACAAGTTTGTTCTTCTGTATTTTTTGTCTCGTTATAATGATGAAAAAAAACTTTCTACTTTTTTTAAACATACTTGCGTCTATCTATCAATGCAACATTTGTAATCCTCTCTTTTTTTTCCTCCAGATTAGAACTGTTCTTTCTGTTTGAGATTTTATTATGAGAATCTCTTTTTTCATTGAACTAATGAAAAGAGGCTAGTACTCGATGTTACAAACTCCTAAAGGAGTGAACAAAAAGAAAAGCTAATTACAAAGCAAAAGAGAAACAGAAAATGAATACAGTGGAAATATGAAAGTATTCCTATTCAAAATTGATATCCCAACATGATGAGATAAAGAACACAAAAGAGATGCTTTGAGATGAGCTGATTCAAAATGCACTAACCATGAGCAATATTTATTACATTTTAATTGTTTCCTGCCATAATTAAGAAATCAATGCCTCAACTGCATTGACCCATTATAAGTGAGGGCGAGAGGGCAAACGGAGACCCAATAAAATCTGCAAAATGTCATTGGCCACTGTTGAAGAGAAAACCCATTGTGTTAGCGTTTTGCACTTTATGTGCTGGATCACCCACTATGTTTATTACGAAACTCTTTTTTATATATAAAGAGCATGTATGTGTTGTGCACTTTGTATGCTGGATTACTGTTATTATGTTTTGAGAAGTTTTTATTCAATGACAGGCTATTCCTAGTTATTCAGCTAGGAGGTCCTTGTTTGAACACTTTGTTAAGACCCGTGCTGAGGAGGAACGTAAGGAGAAAAGAGCTGCTCAGAAGGCTGCAATAGAGGGATTTAAACAGTTACTGGATAGTGCATCTGAGGTTATATCCCTTTCGACATTGATTGTCTGGTCTAAGGTTGCTATTTTTGTAATTGAGCCTTTTGAATCAACACAGTATTAAGATGGATGAGTTCAAAATCTCTTGAGCGAACTGTAATATATATATATATATATATATATATATATATATATATTTTTTTTTTTTTTTTTTTTTTTTTTT